CTCCTTGCTGGGGGAGTCGGCGTACGACTGCTTCATTAGCGAAACCCGCAGCATGGCCGCCGCAGTCTTAGATGCTGTTATTTTACTCATGGCGTCGGCTGAAAGAAATAAACAGCAAAGTTAGTAAAAATCCCAAGTAAACAAGGCGTGAGAAAACAGAGTATTCGTCAGGCCGGCTACCTCTAGAGCACCGACTGCCGAGGCCACAGGCGGCCAAGAAGTACTCATCATAGAGCCACTTGAAGCTCGGGACGCAGTGTAGGGGTACTTGCTCTCGTACCCCTGAAGTAGAGTTCACCCTAGTCTCTACTTTGAAGAGTCCTTTGTCTAGGATCTCTCTTTTAGCCTTTGGGGGAACAGGCGGCATGCTGCGGCCGCCTGCAAGAAGAGGCGGATCCCTGTTCCACTTGTTAAATCGTTTGTTCAGCTCCGTGTCTGAACTCTCGATAATAAGGAAGGTGTTCCGCCAATCCTTCCATTTGTTTGCCTTACCTCTCGTCATGAGGTAACCCCTGTGGCTTGTTAGTTGATACCAGCCGGTACCTCCCGACTTAGGGGTCCGGCTGAGATAGTTCATGTGGGCGAAAGCCTCAAAACTTGGCTCCACCCCGTTCAGTTCGCACCCGGCCACATAGCCGAGTACGTTTACCCAAGAGTTGGGGGCTAACTGCCATAACCCCAGATCATACCCATCTAAAATCCGCTGAACAGCCGGATGTAATGGGAAGCGCAGACCAGCTTTGATGGCCGCCACATAGCAGCCAAAACAGCCGTCACCATAGCTGGTACCAGCCGGCCAGACGACAGTATCTTCTGGATCCGGCACAAACAGTAAATACTCCGGGCTCATTTTGTGGTTAGCAATAAAGCTCGCCACGTTGTCTCGCATGGTTGCGATCCGGCCCCGGGGCACCCTGCAGTAGTAGGGGGTGTTTTCCTCTCTGTAAGAGGCGGACGGCTCTGCCCAATTATCCCCCTTCTCCACTGCATGGGAACTTCTCGCCTCTTGTAGGCGGTTATGTTTTTCTTCTGAGTCAGAAGAACTATGGTCAGAAGAGCTGGAATCGGACTCGTCCCCTGACGAGTCCGAAGAGGACGACTCCTCCCCTCTCCTAGAGGGGCCCGCCTCCTCTCCCTTAGAAGGAGCAGAAGGTAAATTGGACATGTCTACGGTTAGATGAGAAGGGAACACCTTGGTCCCTCTCTCAGAACTGTCAGCTTGACAGTCGCCTCGTTCCACATCTGGCGCCTGGTCAGATGTTTCGCTAAGGAGTACCCTTTGGGAGGAGCCGTCTGAGTTTGATATTCTAGCAGTCTTTTTTGTTCTGGCCATCACGTTCTGCATAGACACAGATTCAGTCGGACTTTGTATAAAGGGTAAAGATGGGTCCAGAAAAGGGCAGGCGGCACTCCTAGTCCTAGATTCAGCCGTCCCCGGTGACCGGCTGATCACTAACTTAGGGCGTGTCGTGTGCTTCCATGGTGCCATTTCAAAAAATAAAAAGAAAATTAAGAGTAAGAGAACTGAGTTACCTGAATGGATGACAGTTGATGAAGTCCTGAAAGTTCGGGTCAGTCGGCTTGTCAGAACAGGCGGTAGGCAGAAAAAGTCCGAAAATGTCAGAGCAAGTTCAGGGGTCCGAATGTTCTCGCAAAAATTCTCAAATGTGAAAATGACCGAAGTCAGCACTTCCTTTTATAGGCAAAATGAGAAGGCGAAGGGTCGCTTCCGAATTCAAATTTGGGCGGGAGAATCTCCCGGCCGTCTGCAAGGTGACACCTGTAACGGGCCGTCGCCTGTCACCGTGCGACGCCTGTCACAGGCGACACGTGACCAGTCGCGTGCCACCTGTGAGGGGCAAATGATTAGGGGATTTTTATCCACCAAGCACCGTTTGACAAGTGGACCAACCAGGTTCCGCCACGCGTCCTCCACGGACCACTTAAGACACGCCACGTGTCCACCCATGCCAAATGGGACAACCGGCCATCAAGGCCCATTTCAGTCTAGAAGCCCGATCGGCCCTAGGTTTACCTTAAACCTAGAGAGTTGCACGCTTCCCAAGGCTATAAATACTCGATTAATCCTCATTAATCAGGGACCGAATAATTAACGGAACACACTAATAACCGGCTGATCTCGCTAGCAAAGCAGATTACCTACATTAAATACTCTCACCTAGAGAGACCTTATTACTTTAATTTCTGTATTAATTACTCCTTAATCAGGTACTAACTTGACCGTTGGAGGCGGAGCTCTCAGGAGTCTCCGTTATTTTGCAGGTACAGGCGTCCGGTTCCAGTCTCGGAATTGTAACTCTCCCGCAGGACATCAGAAAACCCCGAAACAATAATAATTGAAATAATAATACTAATAATAATAATCAATAAATAATAATAATAATCATCAATAAATAATAATAATAATAATAATAATAATAATAACAATAACAATAATAATAATAATACTAATAATAATAATCAATAAATAATAATAATAATAATAATAACAATAATAATAATAATCATCAATAATTAATAATAATAATAATATGTACATTTGTATATACACATATGTATAGTAATAAATAATCAATAAATAATCAAAGATCACTAATCCGTAGTTAAAAATCACTAATTAATAAGTTCAGTTCAGTTCAGTTCACTTCAGTTCAATTCATTTCAGTTCAACTGAGTTCAGTCAATCGGTACAGGCCCTAAGGCTAAAAATTCACATTTCGTACCTAAGCTTTAGGTCTGAACAGGTGCCGGTCACTCAGTGTTAAGTTAGGGCCGAATAAGGTGTGCTTAAGCATTTATTATGAAGTAATTAAAGTTTTTAATTATTTTGGAATAATCCTAATTTTTGGGGTGCGTTCTACTTGCTTCTTTTGATCCTCATTAGGGCTATGCACATGTCAAAAATCGGTTTGGACTACACTGAGACTTGTTGGCTTGAAAGACCGAAATCTGAACTTTTTGAAGATCGAGGATAGGACCTTAAAAATTCCAATCTGGATTGGACCAAACTTGTTTTTACAAGTCCGGTCCAATTTTTTAGACTTTTTTTCACCAAGTCTTTTGTTATTTTCCCTTGAATATGATTACATGACATATTATGAGTAGCACTTTATATAAGCCTAGAAAGAAGGCCATTTTTGGCCTAATCTCTTCAGCTTAATTTCAATTCAGTTCAGTTCCTAGTTTTCTTCTCTCATAAAAATTCACTTTAATTCAGTTAAGTTCAGCTTAGTTTAGTAAATCAGAACAGACCCTAAGTTAAGAAATTGCAAGTCAACGATACATTTGATACTTCCTCCGTTCTTAAATACTTGCTCTATTTCTCCATGCATGGAGTTTTAGGAGAAATTGGAAAAAGTATTAAAATATGTAGGTGGTGGGATAGTTGAGAAAATAAAAAATTATAAAAAATAAAAGTAGTGGAAGAATAAAAGGAGAGAGGGTATTAAGTTGGGTCCGCTAAGTGTGAGAAATGAATTAAATATTGTAAACCTTTTCAAAAAGGAAATAGAGCAAGTATTTAAAAACAGCTAAAAAAAGAAAGTAGAGCAAGTATTTAAAAACGGAGGGACTAGATTTTACTCGTTCTATTTAAGTACCTCAACTTAACATATTACAAAAGTTCGCCCAAATAGAAAATAAGGAAAATTTTTAAATTACCACCCAAAAATATAACCATTTTCGAACTAACCACCCAAATTTTTTTTTTTCTTAAATTACCACCCATTAAAATAAATAATTGCTCAGATTACCACCCATTTTGAAAATCCGGTGGGAGTCTGACAAGTGGGCCCCACTTTAGTTATTTTCCTTCTTATTTCTCCTCCCTTCTATTCATCATCTTCTCCTCTTGGCTCCTACTCCACCTCTTCCGCCATTAAAGCTCCCTTTTCCCCCTTCTTTCTCTCTCCTCCAACCCTAATTTCTTCCCCTTTCTTCTCTCTTCTTCACATTTCTCATCTTTCCCAAATCAATAAAAAAAACCCTAATTTTTAATACAACCAAATCAAACACCCATACAAATTAGAAATTTCTCATCACATCAAATCAAATCGATTCAATCCATTCAAATCCGATTGAAATGAAACCCACTGGAAACTCTTCACAATCGGATTAATTACCTTTTGGTACTCCTCAAACATTGGCGTAATCATATTAAACAAGTATTTGTTGAGCAATTATGGATTCAAATACCCAATTTTCCTTACAATATGTCATATGACAGCTTTTTCTCTCTTCAGTTACATCGCCATTGATTGTTTGGTTGAAGGTTGTTCAGATGCAAACTGTTCGATCTCGTGTTCAATTTGCGAATATTGCGACTCTTTCTGCCATCTTCTGTGCCTCCGTCATTAGCGGCAACATCTCTCTTCGCTATCTCCCTAATTAATTAAGCCCACAAATTCCCCCAATTACAATGTCACTAAAACCCTAATTTTTACAGAAAAGTGAGATTACCTTATGCGAATTGAAGTTCATTCGTTGTTTAAAATGTGGTTGCACTTACAAAGGAGCTCAAATTTGTGGATAAATTGCATGTAGGATTGAAAATTGAATTAGGGGAAGAGCTTTATAGGAAAAATCGGGGAGGAAAACAATTAGAAAGCTGAAAATAGCCAATTTTAGTCGTTACGTGGGGCCCACAGGTCAGAAACTCATCAGATTTTCAATATGGGTGGTAATCTAAACATTTATTTGATTTAAGGGTGGTAATTCAAAATAAATTTTTTTTTGGGTGGTTAGTTCGAAAATGGTTACATTTTTGGGTGGTAATTTAAAATTTTTCCAGAAAATAATTTGAGTTTTAGGTTACCACATCATTCTAGTTTAGACCCGATTAGAAACTCAAAATCTTCAAATTTCTTGGTCCGGGAATTGAACTGAAATCAATTAATATGGCCCGGTCTGGTTCATGTCAAAATAGGGTCGGACCGATTTATGCACACCCATAGGGCCTAGACCCTATGAGGCATGAGTGTTTGACCGTAGGCGTAGTGTATGGATGCCAGTTGATTTTGACTATTTATTGATCAAAGGAAATTGACCAGACACCCTCCTTTCTTTTCCCTTCTTCCCAAACTCCATTTCAAATTCTCAAAAAAATACAGAGAGAGTAGTGAGACAAAACTTGACAATGGCTGATAACAAAATCCTGAAACACTACATCAGAAAACGAACCAGAAGATCAACCGAAGAAGACAGATTGAGTTCACTTCCAGACGCCATTCTCACCGACATTCTCTCGCGCCTCTCAATCCACTCCGCCGTCACCACCTCCGTCTTATCCCACCGTTGGCGCCACCTCTGGACCACCATCACCCGCCTCAAACTCAGTGTTCACGAAACTGACGAAACTATAAAACCCAACGATTCCACCACAATCGACCATATCTTAACCCAGATTACGTCTCCGAAACTCCAAGTTGTCGATCTCAATTACTCAACAATGCTATTAGATATTCCAAGATTCAGTGCCTCAGAACCATGGTTCACTGAAATTTGCCGCCGAAATGTGGAGGATTTCACTCTTACTACAGTTGATGATTACCCATTTCGTATTCCTGCTTGCCTTGTCAATTCTCAGTCTCTGGTAAGCTTGCAATTACGTGGGGTGCTTAAATCGAAGTTGCCTAAAAATGGGGATTCATCTGTTTGTTCATCTTTTCATCTCCCTAATTTGAAGTTACTTTCTTTGTGTACGTTTAATAGTGTCCCAGATTGGTTATCGAAGCTAATTAGGTCTTGCCCGATTTTGGAAGATTTAACTCTGTCGTTCGATTTGGATGATTATCCCCCACCCTATTATTTTGATATAGTTGCTCCTAATTTGGAAACGATGTGTATACATATGTTTACTTGTGGTGAGATGCGGCGCACTCGAATATCGATTGATGCACCTAAATTGACAGACCTTAATATTCATGATAGTATTTCGATTTATAGATTTGTTCGGAATCCAACTGCATTAGTTAAAGCGCGTTTGTCCTTGGCAAGATGGTGTGGAGAGGTGGTTAATGAAGGAAGTAGTTATTATCTTGAGGAGATGTCTAAGTTTGTTGGTGAATTTTCTAGTGTTAGCAATCTTGTGTTGATGCTCCAAAGCCGTAGCAATATATTTGGTTGCCTTAATCCCAGGAATTTGCCAATATTTTCTAATGTGGTGAATCTAGAAACAAATTTCTTCAAAGATTTGGTGTTTTCTTTAGAATTTTTTCCCAAATTAGAGCATCTTGTGGTGAGTATATGGTGTCAAGCTGCTGGTCTTCCAATGGAGCAAAGGTATTGGTTGCCACCGAATACTATACCAGATTGTTTATTAAGTAAGCTCAAGACTATAAAAATAAAGGGACTACAGGCAGTTGGCGATGATCTGAGGCTGCTAGCGTACATTTTGAGTAATGCTTATGTTTTGGAAAAGCTTTGCATAGATGTTCGTATGATGGATGTGGTTAAAGCTAAAAATGATCGTGAAGCAGCACATATACTGTGGAAGGAAGGTCAGTTCTGTAGGTCATTGTTTAAGCTTTTAAGGAGGTCCTCAACATGTGAGATTGTGGTTTCTGGAAGGTCTGTCAATGCATTTGGGAATGCTTTACAAGACGGATACCTTACCTGTCAAATGTATGTGGGCAAATAGACCTAATATGTGCAACTTGTTTTCCAAATGCAAGCATTCAAGCTTATGGGTTGCAGGTATTTATTACTAAGTTCCTATTAATTATTGGTGTATGCATATAGTTTTGTTTAGGCTTAACAATGTTTTTTGAAATGCTGGACATGTATCAATGTATTATTGCCTTGCAATGCATTGGTCTTTTTCGTTGAATTTATTAGTAAAATTCCAGCCTTTTCACTTCTCTATATGTCTATGGTGAATCTTTGATTTATTAATGCTTTAATGTGATGCTCTTTGATATGATAAGTTTTTAAACTGGAAAATAAAATTTTCAAAGTACTTTGCTTGCCATGACAGTTGAGGGTCTCAAAGTCATTCTGAAATTTGATACCATATAAGTGCACATGGATTTTAAGGAGGATGCCCCAGTTTCTCATGATGAGAAACGAATTCGTTTCTCATGGTGGCATTTTTGTGAATAAATCAACAACTTTTTCAACTTTATTCAACTGTGGAGCCTACAATATTGAAAAAGTTGTTGATTTATTCACGAAAATGCCCCCATGAGAAACAAATTTCGTTTCTCACCATGAGAAACAGGGAATTTCCCGATTTTAAGTGATGGATGCAAACATGAGTATATTCATGTGAATCTGAACCAGATGTTATATAATAAATCTTGTGTTTCAGGGGATTTATATTTTTGTCTCTTACTAGTAATTGGAGTAAAAGCCATTGATTATTGATAATTACCTAGAAAGCCTGATTTATTGAGTTATTATGGAGAAAGATACTTTATATGACTTCTTTTATTCCTTTGGTTTATTTTACGACTTTAGTATTTGTGTATGTATTTCTTGGACAAATTACTGTTTATTGATTGTAGCTCAGAACCCTTAGGATCCAAGGCAGATTAATTTGAGTCGCCTGTTGGTGGTATAGGAACAGGTTGAATTTGAGTGATTAGAGTTCGATGGTACCGACCATAATAGCTTGGTTTAAAAGCTTCTAACTGGATAGAGTTAACTTGATTAAAAGCTCTTGGTTCACTTGAATAGTTGAATTTACTGAAGAAAATCTGATTTTGGTTGATTAAGAACTTCTGCAAACCGAGCATTATTTAAACTTGATTACAATAGTTCCTTCCTTTGAATTATGAAGGTGAATGTTTTATGTTGATAAGAATTTATGCAGAAGTGCTCCTACCATCAGTTGGATCTTTGCAAGCTTTAGACATTGGATCTAAAACTTGAATCAGTATTGTGCCTCTTTTCATCTGGAAGTTGATGTACGGACCTTGGTAAAAACTACCATACTATATTTATTTCTGATCCTTGGGTGCCTGTATCATTAAACAACTCATGGATGATCAAACTTCTTTAGAAAACAGGTTAGAGATCTTAAAAGACCTGAGACTTGAAACAATTAGCATTGACATGTCAGCAAGGACAACAAACGATTTACTAGGAGATTTGATTGTGAAATTGACTGGCTTATACAAGCTGATATTGTCTCTCTTGGTTTTACCTAGCCTAATAATCTAATTGAATTTGCTGCAATATGGATGGCACCAGATCATCTTTCAAAATGAATGCTTTTACCTATCTTTATCTCTTTGGAAGTCCCTGCTTCGATTCTTATATAAAGAACTATATAAGCTTACCTGTACTTCTGTAAGTTCTGTTATGGAAAAGGTCAGTTTAGAATTATAGGAGTGTTTCTAAGTATTCCCTTGGTATAAAACAAGGTAGTCTGGCCTATGTTCCTGCAGCTGATGGCTAATTATGAAGTGCAAAGGTCTTACATGTTTTTGGAGATAAGGTTTTGTTTGTTTCTTTAACGGGAATAGTGGGCCTCATTAGTCATTACGAAGATGCAGAATGATATAAGTTTGGAGCTTAGAGTGCATAAACCGAGGAACATTTTATATAACTATGCGTGAAGAGGTTAAGAATATACGTAGTAATTAAGCAGAAGTAGTTGTGTTTAAAAACAAATAATGCAGGAGCACTAGAGCATTCATATAAAGGCTTCATTGAAATGCTGCCACTGGATTGTATGATAGTAAGCTGTAAGATGGTTAGTGTCAGCTTGATTAAGGTATGTGATAATAAACATCTCCCATGTGTAAAAACAAGGCACTTTCTTCTGTATGTTAGCACTCTGGCAGTTGGTGGTTAATAATGAATTGCAAAGGGTGATACATATTCTGATAGCCAACTTTGAATTGCAGTTTGGTCTGTTTATAAATTTCGTCGGATTAATGTGCTTATTTGGAAAAACACTGTGTCGAGTAGTTTGGGAGCTTAGAGTATACATGCCGAGGAGCATTGTATAACGACTTATAGAGAGATTAAAAGAAAATTTAGGCTTAAATTGCCTTGTAAAATTGCAAAAGCATATTAACTCGGGATAGAATGTTGCAACTATAACCGTCTTGTAGTAAGCTTTAAAATGGTGCATTCTCTTTTATTGAATCTCTCTGTGGTAGCGGATATATCGGTCGTTGGACAATTACCCTAAAACCAAACAATATTTCTACCTAAACCAACCTAAGACAAGTCTAGGGTAAGTAGAGGATCGTATCCACAGGGAATGGATAAGTACACCGAGAGTATGAAACGGTTGTAAGCTAATTCGGTCACAAATTGGGTTTTGAATGGTTAGCTACTATATAAAAGAACGCTAGGGGAAACGGGATTCAACACCAACCAAAGCCAAGGAATCAATAACAAGGATAAATCATGAGCACACATAGAAGATAGAAAAGGAACTTAACATTGCCTTCTTTCAAAGTCACAACATAAGTACTCCCTAGATTAAGCATTAACACGATAAGGATTAAGTCTCAAGGATAGGAAGTGGGTTTCTAGCTCGAGTTTGTCTCTCGATCGCTCCGAACTAGCATGAAGCTCAAATAATTGGGATTTCTCACCTAATTACCATACTAAAGCAACCTAGTCAATGAAACCAAACATCCAAAATCATGAAAGTAGCATAATCTAATTACACAAGAAAAGACTCACTCCAAAACCCCATCTTTCGATGTGAGAAGAGGGATGAACACATGGGCATATTGTGGCCAACAAAATACACATGCAATTATCAATTCAAGCACAAACAACTATCAATCCAAGGTAGCACATGAATAATTCCAAGTCAATTAGCCATAGCTTGGTTGGGTCTTCACCCAACCCCTAACTAAGAGACTACTCACTAAACATGGTGGAAATTACTCTAACAATTAAATCTAGGGTTTTCATGAATTCAAATAAGCTAGGAAAGAGATGAAACAAGGATGGATTAAACATGCAAGAATAAATAAACAGGATTAAGGGAGAAATTATCAACTCAAAACAATTAAAATTGAAAATTAAGAGCAAGAGATAGAGGAAAGAGATTACTTAATAAACTTCAAAGTTGGGAAAATTGTTGAAATTGATGGAACAAACTTCCAATAATTCTTACAAATGATTGAGTTTTTGAGAAACTAAACTAAAGGAGAGGAAAACTATGAAATAATTAAGATAATAAGTCTAATGGAGTTCAGAGAGAAGAAGATCCCCACAAATGAGCCCCTTAAAGCTTTTATAACCCCCAATTTCATAGTAAACTCCGCAATAGAATGTTCGCGGAACCCATCGGGCGCGGCCTCTCCAAGGTGAGGAGAGGCCGCTCCAAGTCTTGGAGAGGCCGCTCCAAACTGGATACAAAATGGCAGAAAGCTTCGTAGCAGGGCGGAGAGGGCTCTCCAGAAAGGTGGAGAGGCCGCTCCAGGTGGAGAGGCCGCGACATAATGTTGGAGAGGCCTCTCCTCACTTCTTCTTTCAAAACTGCCAAGTGAGGCAGGAAGTTTGGCAACGAGGTGGAGAGGCCGCGACACAAAGTTGGAGAGGCCTCTCCTCACAAAATCCTTGAAACTGCCAACTTTGGCAGTAGCTGCAGCAAAAGGGTGGAGAGGCCTCTCCACTGACCTGGAGAGGCCGCGCCACTTTTTGGAGAGGCCGCTCCACTGCAGTTTCTTCATCTTCTTCACTTGGCTACTTTGCTTTGGCTTCTTTTCATCATCTTCTTGCTTTCCAACTTGATTCATCATCCATAGGCTTCACTTGGTCGTCTTTAGGCCTAGCAACTCAACAAAAAAACACCAACAACCCGTGAAGCATAGGGTACACAAAAATTGCATAGTAATAGAGCAAAAGTGAACCAAAACACTGATTTTATCAAGTAAACAAGGTTCAAAGACACCCTAAAACCATACCAAAATACAAGTTATCACTCTGTTAGTCAAATTGACTACTATAAGAGGTGTAGTGAGCTATATTATAAGTCACTATACTCAATATATATCAGTCCCTTACTCCCTTCTGTGTGGAAGTCAAATAAGTCCCTGAAGATATGATAATTTTAGAATTATACAAGAAATTAGAATGTAAAATCATGACATTATAATTGTTCTATTTTTATTGCATTTTGAGTTCGATTGTAAAGTTTTATCTAGCTTGGTTGATCCCTTAGAATATGGAGTTGATACCTTAGAAATTGGAGTTATATTTAGTGCAGATAATTAGTTTTTTTTTTTTTTTTTTTTTTTTTTTTATTCAGCTATTTTGCCATAGGCTTATAGACAAACACCAGGCACAATATTTTCTGTCCTGTACAGCACGTCACTCATATTTTGCACTCTGCTGCAATACATTCTCAGGCATCCTAGAGCCAATTACACACATGGTCTTCTTATAAACAGCAGAAGGTCTTTCTGAGTTCATATTGTAGAAAGTCTAGGTTGCATACCACGTCTGCCCATTTCTAATTAGATGATGAGTATCAATCGATGAGGTCATGAGGAATCGAGGAGTGTGACATTGAAGCTTGCAGGGCTTTCTAGGTGTAATACATAGAAGCCAGTTGGTTATGTTATTTAGTCAGCTGTCTCTTAACCTACGGTTTGTATATAAGGTAAGTAGAAGCACTTCTAGCTTCAGTTTTCTCTGTTCCTCTTCCTAAAATTTATATCTTTCAGTTCACAGAAGAGAGTTGATGCGATTAAGGACTGACCAAGAATAAGGTGGTAAGGAAGAAAATTCATAGAACAGGATTGATGAATCCAGGGGTGGAGCCATGGGGGTTACTAAAGCCTATTAACGTTTTTTTACTCAAGTCTCAAAAGGATGTAAATTAAAAACAGGGAAATGAAAACATCTAAAGGCGATACCCAGCTTCCTTTCTTTATTCTTTGCTTCACAGGTTTAAGGAGCTACTGCAAGAAAATTATGCTTTAGGTTGTTTTCTAAGGAGATTATGGACAGATAAAGAAGGAAGAACTGAAAAACGCATGGAATTTTGCTCTGCAACTACCAGGATAAGCGAGCTTACTGTTTTTTTTTTAATCTCTCTTCATTCACAAAGTAGTTCTAGATCAGCAAGTAGAGACTTGAATTGCTTGGTTTATTGACCTCTGGACCTGTAATGTCAATCTGTTGCAGGCAGCTCATATGCCTTTGCAACCAATGTGGATTTAGTTGAACTTGCACTATAACTGTATAAGTGGTGAGGTAACAAACTGATTTGAGTTAGCTGGTTGTGATTTGTGAAGCTCTTCTTTAACTAAATAATTTTCTCCATTGAAAAATGACATGTAAACTGAGGTAATTTTGAGCTCATTCTATACTTCTATATTAAAAAAACATTTCTAAACACAACATAAAACCACGTAAATATGTACTAGCATTGCGGCGTCGCCTCTAGCATTGCAACAATAACTTCACGTCATTATTAATCAGAAAAAAAAAAAAAAATCCAACAATTTACATGGATATAAAATCACACTTCGTACCATCTCACTTAATACTAATTTATGTTCTCTTTATGCATATAGATTTTTTTTTGACCACTTCTTTATGCATATAGATAATTATATAAAGAAAAAAAAAAGAATTAGAAATAAATATGTAGCCTGGATTAAATAGATAAAAAGGATTAACCTCAATAAACACAATCGAGTAATTCTCTTTTATCCTCTTTTTTACTAACATTTAGAGGGTGTTTGTTTAGCAGAAAGGGTGGGACAAGGATAAAAAATAGGAATAGAAGAAATCTAGTGTTTGTTTGGAGGGATAGAAATTAGAAGAGGGTTAGGGATAGGGATTAAAACACCCACTTATCCCTCCATTTTTATAACTAAGGGGGTGGTATAAGGGGAAGGGATAATAAATTGGTTTTAAAAGACCAAATTACCCTTAATGAAATTGAAAGGGTAAGGAGAAAAGGTAGAAGTTACCAAGGGTATTTTTATAAATTCAATACTTATCCCTAATTTGTTTCCTATACTTACCAAACATGAGATAAAAATTATTTATCTTTTGTCCCACCTATTAATCCCCTATCTTTATCCTCCCTTTTTATCTCTCTTATTCCCAGGAGCGTTATGGTATGTTTTAAAGTAGGAATCAGTGCAGAGTAGGACACAAAATAGTTTGGATCTTTATTCCCTGAATCATAAATAACTATATATTAAAAGACACACTAACATTGACACGTATTATATTATGGTATGTCTTTATTTTTTTATTTTTTTTTTGCTGAATAAAATTCGTTCTTTTTTAAAAACAAATCTTGTACAATAATAGTTCCCTAATTTTATACTCCCTCCGTCCCACATTGATAGCCACTTATGTCATTTTTAGGCACCCAAAATGTTAGTCATATTTGCATTTTTCAAGTATCATTAATATTTTGGGAATGACATAAGTTTAATCAAAGATGTATCCTTCTCAAAATCTTGGTAAAAAGATGTTGATTAATATTTTTTTACCAAAATTCTTGATTAAAATGATAGTTTAATAATGGTTATTGAAAGTTTAATATTATTTTTTACAATATAATGTGTAATCCTTTCTATTGATTAAAATGATAGTTTAATAATGCTTATTAAAACTTACCTTAAAATAACTTCAAAAACCTTAATCGAAGTGGAACGCTAAACCTCGCCCTCGAATCTCCAACTAACGCCCACATTATAACTTAAAATTACATTTTTACCCTTGTTATAAAAAATACTTCGTATAATTAACCTCAACTTACCGCTTTCACCGTCCAAAAAAATTTGATAACAATAATAATAATAGGAACAAATCTAACTGAATAAGAAATTAAGAGCTATAATAATGAGTAATTAGTAACAAACAGAATTATAACAACACAAGAACTTTATTCTGTTAGCATATTTTACATACGAAGTATATTCATTTTGACTTTTTGAGTGTATATATGTATGTATAGTTAGTTCCCTCAAAAAAAATAAAATAAAAATAAAAAATAAAAATAAAAAAAAAATTGTATGTATAGTTAGTATGCATTCAGTGAACGTATTCCTAGCAAATCATTAGCAATATTTAAGGTTAGTTTACTTATACATAGCAATTAGTGAGCTGATGACAATCTGCCTAACATTCCTCTAATAAAATGTACTCCCTCCGTTTCGGATTACTCGCAACAAAGGACAATGTTGTGGACTCCTAAGCAAAAGATTGAAAGTATGATTGAAACATAAGGATATATGCTTAACTACTAATCCAACCCGAAAAACAAAAGGAAAAACAAATTCAATCTTAATTAAATCAAATAACCCACCACCACCGACACCACCAAGCAGCAGCGAAACCTACCACACCACCACCACCACCCAACATCACCGAAACCAACCACAAGCACCACCCAGCATCACCTAAACCACCCGCCACCACCACCACAAACAAACCCATCACCACCGACGCACCCAACACCACCCACAAACCCAACATTACCTAGCCGGAGCACCCCATCGTACCCAGAAGCATCCCACCGTACCACCCTAAAACCACCGTACCCTACAGCATTCCATCGTACCCAGCACAATCAAAACCCCAAAACCAAAACCAAACCCACGAACCCTCAATAATCAAAACCCATAACCAGCAATCGAACCCAGACCACAACCCCAATCAAACCCACAATCGAACCCAGAAAACCACGAACTCTTGAACCCACAAAACCAGGAACCCTTGAACCCATCAACCCAACGAAACTATTCACGGCCACCACCACCACTAGCCAGCGAACCCAACTATCCCGCGAGACCACCAAGCTAGCGCACCCACCGATCCCGCGAACCCACAAAACCCTAAGATCTTGAAAACCTTGAGAATGAGGTTAGATGAGGAGAGAGAAAATTAATGGGGATAAGGAAGAAGATGAAAAAATTTGATGATGAAGGAAGAGAGAGAAAAATAATGGGGATGAGGAAGAACTGAAGAAGATAAAGAATGATGAGGGTGGTTGAATGATGAAGGTGGCTGGGATGATTGATGAAAGGGAAGAGGATTGATTCAGGTGGAAATTCTTAAGTTAATTAATGTTAGAATTTAAGTTAATAATATAAAATCAGATTTTTTAATTAGGATATGTTTGGTTCAAGCATATTAGGTGTAAGGTATGGGTTTAGAATGACCAAAACCCATACCCTGTGTTTGTTTTAAGAATTTTCATTTTTCAAACCCATACCTCAAACCCTCAAGGTATGGGTTTTTGAAATCCAAGGGGGGAGGTGGGTATGGCTCATACCCATATCTTTAGGTTCAAAATTAAAGAAAAACTATAATTTCTAGATAAAAACCAAACACATGAAATCAAGTCCAACTCCATACCACCCAGGTTTCATTCCCCATTCCAAACTCATATCATTGTTTGAACCAAACGCCCCCTTAGAGTGTTTAAGAAAATAAGTAAGGGTAATTTTGTAAAATCATACAAAAAAAATAAAGAAATCACTTTGTTGCGAGTAATGTGAAACGACCATTTTAGGAAATTGTTGTGAGTAATATGAAACGGAGGGAGTATATATTGCTTTGACTTGAATTGGAAGCACGAAATCAATTTCCTTGACTTTACCCAAATATGAAATCAAAACAGATTCAAAACGTCCATTTTTTAAGAATTACAATGGAGGAAATAAACGCCCAGAAATTTCGAACGTCCAACGGTTGTTCGATATATCTAGACGTTGCTGCCATAGTTTTTCGAAAAAAGGGCGTTTCAGCCCATATCGGAAAATAAATAAATAAAAAAAAAAAACCATTGACGATGGCCTTATCCCTCCTCAGCATTTCCGTGAGAAAAATAGTGGTTGTGTTAAAAGAAGGCCGTGGTTGGTGGTGAAAGGATGAGGTGGTGGTGGTTTAGAGATAAGGAGTGAGGGTGGGTGGTACTTACGTATTATGAATGTGAATCTGTGATGATGAATTTCCTTTTATATATAAGGGTAAATTCGTAAAATAATTTTACTTTGTGGGCGTTAATTTGAGAATTGAGGGCGGTGTTCCCCCCGTCCTCAAGACCAGAGTTGCTTCCTCTGAGGCCGTGACTCCGTAAGACTGTAACCCTTGCAAGTATGAGCAGCGAGACTGTTAGAGCAAAATCGGCAAAAATGACAACAATGGAAGACAATGATCGGCTAAGCTCACTTCCAGACGCAATCCTCTCCGAAATTCTGTCTCGTCTTCCAATCAAATCCGCCGCCACCACCTCCGTCTTATCCCACCGTTGCCACCACCTCTGGACCACCGTCACCCGCTTCGCATTCACCTCTTTTGACGAAACAATCTCACTGAAATTCTCCGCAATCCTTATCAAAATATTACGACAGATAACCTCTCCAAAACTCCGTGTTTTTTATCTTCAGTTGGATTCGCTCTCCAATTTCTGTAAAAAGGGAGTTTCAGAATCATGCTTCCGTGAAATTTGCTGCCGAAATGTGGAGGAAATCATTGTTAATGGCCCTCATCATGTATACGAAGATTGCTTCCTTGTGATACCCGCATTTGTGTTCAAACTCCAATCTCTGGTAATTTTGGAATTATTGGGTAACCTTAAGTTTAATTTGCTTGAAACTGCAGCAATTCAACTTCCTAATTTGAAGAAATTAAGTTTGTGCTATCTATTTGATGTTCCTCCTTGGTTAGAGATTCTAATTAGGTCTTGCACTTTATTAGAAGATTTAACTCTGTGTTTCAATTTGTCGCATTTCAATCAACCCCAGAAAACCCCCAATCAATTTTACATATTTGGTCATAATTTGAAGATGTTGAGAATAGTGATGCACTCACATATTCCAACCCAGAGAACTAAAATATGTATTGATGCACCCAAATTGAGGGAGCTGTGTGTAACCGATCGAATTTCATGCTATCACTTTGTACAAAATCCAACTGGGTTAGTTGATGCATTTGTTGTTTTGACCCCGGATGAGGACTTTCGAGAGGGTCCGGTTTGGATGGATGGACAAGAGGATTATGTACAACAGATGTCCAAGTTTGTACAGGGAATGTCTAGTGTTAGTAAGCTTGACATTTGGGTACAGGGTAAACCCAATGTATATGATTACCTTTATTGTGTGAAGCATGAACTTCGGCCTGTTTTTCGTAACTTAGTCTATCTTGATACGAGCTTAGAAGACATTGGTCTAATTGGGTGGAAGAATTTGCTACTTTCTATGCAATGCTTTCCCAACTTATCACAACTTGACGTGTACCACAAAATGGGAGATGATCTTCCTTTAGAGAACATGAAATGGTGTGAACTAGATTTTGTGCCAGATTGTTTGGCAGGGAAACTCAAGACAATTAAAATATTAGGACTTAAGAGGATTGATGATGAGCTCAAGTTGCTTGCTTACATTCTGAGTAATGCAGATGTTTTGAAAGAGCTTCACGTATCCATTGGTTCCGATACCAACAGAGAATTTAGTGAATTTCAACTGTGGAATGAATGTACATTCTGTAGCTCCCTGTTCAAGCTTCCAAGGGGCTCTTCAACTTGTGAGATTATGTTTAGTGGTATGCGTATGAAGGCTTCAAGTAATGCCTATAAAGAAGGATCCCTTTCGTGTGATATCTATGGTTTTTGATTGCCATTCCGATTGCAATATTTGTTTCTTCAAGCATATGGGTGGCAGGTATTAACTTTCTAATAAATTCCTTTTGATGTAAGCATAGTTTTGTTTATGATTAAAATCACTTCTTGAAGTGATATAACTTTTATTGCTTATGAAACCTTGCTATGTGTATGTCATTTGGTTATTTCTAAATCCTAACTTTATTTACCAATATATTTTGTGTGCCTCTATAAGTCTATATGGTATGTTATGGTGCACTCATGATACATAACTTAAAATAATGTTATGCTTCACACTTTTTCGTTTTAGTACAGGAAATAACTCAAATAAGCTTATCATGATAACACTCTTGGAACGGGCAAGCAAAAAAAACTCAGTGTGTACTGATCCTTGATATATAAATATCTCATGACAATTGATGATGTTGAATCCACTATAGAATTCGTTTTTTATGAAGTTTAAATGGACTAAAGGCAAATGGATTTCAAAGTGATATTAGATGAGTAGTCAATTGAAGTTTAAAGATGTTGAAATTATTTGCTGTTTCAGGGGTATGGTAATTTTGTTTCTTACTAGTGATTGAGAATGTAAGTTGTGAACTTGTGATGAATGCTAACCCCAAATTCTTTTGGGATTTTGGAGTAAACTTTTCTATGTACAGCTTAATTTAAATGAGTTAATGTCACAGGCTGCTTTGGTGCTTGTATAGTAGTGTATCTGTGGACATTTTGCCTCCTGGCATGTTGTCTGAAATATTTATAGGCTAATTATCCTGTGTTCATGTCTAATTATTAAATTGATTAGGCTTTGCTGGCCAAAAGTATTAGAGGAATAGAATAGATGGGGCACAACAAAGATTATCAAGTAAAGCGATTGAGATGTATTCTTCTCAAGTTTTTTTAAGCTAAATAATGTATTGAGATAAAGGGTAGTGAGTAGCTTCTGACTGTTGCTGATCTGAAGTTTTTGTGTGTAGTTCACAAAGATGTATCCTTCTCAAAATCTTAAGATATCAGTTTCTTCTTCTGTGTGCTAGTATCTTTATCAGTACTCGAGAGTGGCTATTCTTTATTCTACAAGCAATAGGAAATCATGCCATCATGGTAGTTTTGTAGCTATTTATGTTGATGACATCTTAGTCACTGGATATCATTTGGTTGAAATAAAAGACTTGGTGGCTCCTTGATAGACAATCTAAAATCAAAGTCTTGGTCAACTTGTTTTTAGGTTAACTTCTTGGTGGTAAAATGATGCAAAGGAAGTTTGTCCTAGATCTACTCGTTGAGTTTGATTGCGTAGTTTAAGCCCCTAGAAGCTGTAGTAATATTACTGCATGCACAGCAGATAGTAATATTCTGATTCAACAGTTTACTGGCCTAGGGCTTATATGTACACTTAGCTACCCGACAAACGCATACTTTACTGCACTACGGAGCCTTTTTTGGCGCTTACTAAACCCGTCATAAACAGATTGCAATCCCTGTTTTCAGGCACCTTAAAGCCAGTCTAGCTCAAGGTCTTCTCTTTAACAAAAATATGTTTTAGCTTAAGGCTTTCTGAAAGTTGTTTTTTCGTTATTCTGGGGAATAGTCCTATATCATACTATAGAAATCTAAGTAGACCGCAGAGACCTCTTCTCATGTAGATGCTGTGTGCCTGTGTATTGAATCATTGATTGATGAGGCGTTGACAATGGAGCTTGCATGGCTTTCCAGGTTAAAAGGTGAGTGGAGTGTGCCTAAATTTACTCCAATTCATTTGAATGAAGTGTAAAATATAAGCTTCCTTTTAAAATTACATTGCTAAGAATACAATTTCTTCTTTTGCACATCTCTTATCAGTGAGGCTAGTAAACGACTTTTTAACTGTGAGCAATTATACTCACAAGAGTCACAACAGAACAAATAACATTTGAATATGAATATAGATTGAACACGAAATTCAAAAGTTCCAAAAGTAGGCAAGCCTTAATTAGAGTCTCAATCGATCTTTAAAAACTAGACAATGTTGAAAGTGTAGTCACAGTGCCGTAGTAGTAGTAGCAGCGATCATGTTGGTGATAGGGGTTGGCCATTGAGGTGGACAATAATGAAACAATCTGAAGCACGGGAGCAAAGATGATACAGTGGACTTGAAGTCGGAGACTAATTGCACAGTCTTGCTTCTCAGGTTGGTTCACAGCCAGTAGATGATGATCTCGAGAAAAAACATATAGCACGTCTCCATTACAGGGATCGAAGCCTTTGATAGACATCGACACATCAGCACAGAGCCAATTAATACTTGTAAGATCCACAAAATGCTTTATATACCAAGTACCGCTATAGCCCCTTGTGTAGTCCTTCATATCCCAGACAGTGAGTGTTTTAGTAAAAGCGGTCACATAGTTCCAATGATAAAGGCGCAGGCGTTGTTCAACGTTTGCTATGCATAAACTACGCTGATCTGCTGAACCTCTCTTTCCGCACATCTTGTCGAGTTTAGCTTCTTGGGGAAGCTCAATAAAGTCGCATTACTTGGGGTTTTCCTCGTCAAATGGATTATATACATATTTGGTCATAATTTGAAAGTGTTGAGAGTAGTGATGCACTCACATATTCCAACCCAGAGAACTTAAACATGTATTGATGCACCCATATTGAGGGAGCTGTGTGTAACGGATCGAATTTCATGCCATCACTTTGTACAAAATCCAACTGGGTTAGTTGATGCACTTGTTGTTTTGACCCCGGATGAGGACTTTCGAGAGGGTCCGGGTTGGATGTATGGACAAGAAGATTATGTACAACAGATGTCCAAGTTTGTACAAGGAATGTCTAGTGTTAGTAAGCTTGACATTTGGGTACAGGGTCAACCCAACGTATACGATTACCTTAATCGTGTGAACCATGAAATTCGGCCTGTTTTTCATAACTTAGTCTATCTTGATTAGGTGGAAAAATTTGCTACTTTCTATGCAATGCTTTCCCAACTTATCACAACTTGACGAGTACCACAAAATGAGAGATGATTTAGAGAACATGAAATGGTGTGAACTAAATTTTGTGCCAGATTGTTTGGTAAGAAAACTCAAGACAACTAAAATATTAGGACTTAAAGGGATGATGATGAGCTCAAGTTGCTTGCTTAAATTCTGAGTAATGCAGTTGTTAGAGCTTCAAGTATCCATTGGTTCCGATACCAACATTCCGCAGCTCCCTGTTCAAGCTTCCAAGGGGCTCATCAACCCTCCCCATTCCCGTCATACCCCTCCCCCTTCCCGCCAAAGGGGGGCTGGCCGGCTGGCAGTGTGGGTGGTGAAGGGGCGGCTTAGGATTTTTTTTAAAAATAAAATTTTTTATTTCAGTAATTATATATTGTTTAATTATAGTTTTCGTCAAAAAAATTATAGTTATACATTTAATTAAAATCAATAGATTATTTTTTATTATAAAATGATCTGTTTGGTAGGTTTTAGGTCATTTGACCTATTAAAATTAACCACACAAAAATTGGCTTATTTAGTTTTCCTAACAATAATTATAATAAATTAGGGTTGTGCGTGGGCTTGTAACAAAAGTATTAAAAAAATTGATAACAACACATAAAAAAGTAGAGAATATTCTCAAATAATAATACATTAAAATATAAATAAGCTATTAATTTTGAAAACTAAAAAAAAAAATATAGGTAAGGAATCTAATAAAATTGAACCGTATTTGTATTTAGACGCCTTACAAACCTCAGCAACCACACAATAAAGACCGAACAATGCGGCGAGACAAATATTGGCAGGGTTGCCAGGTTGATAGAGCCTAAAGCCTAGCAGCTGACATGCCGCTGCACCCGGCGATAAGAATATCATCCATAGTAGACCTGTTGTTACCACGTAATTTATAGACAACGTTCTTTAATAAGCCCTCTAACAAGGTCGTTGACCCAAATAAAAGGCCTGTTTGAGTCGCATCTACTTTCGGGGCTAACAGAGCCGATTTTAAACATTTCGTCTTAGATAGACGCTGGAGGCGGTATCTTTTTTTTTTTCTTCCGAGTATAATTCCATAACATTGAATGGATATTTAAACATATACCATATAATGGACTTATCCAATGCTTCCCCTACTATTTCTGTGCCCGATAACCAACCCGGATATCTGCTTGCTTGAAAACGATAACCTTTCCGCTCTGATAAAGGATCATTAAGATAACTTTTCAGCTCGCGTTCTCTGGTAATTGATGGCTTGAACATCTCGTATCTAATTCTCTCGTATAGGCTAAGAGTTGGATTATTCATTATTAACAAAGATAGAATTCAAATATTATCTTCAACAATAAATTAGAAAACTTATCATAAATTCATAATAGCTACCTTATCATAAAATTATTATTATTAACGGTTTGGCAATAGTAAGATATATTTAGGAAATATTATTTGATTTGGGAATATCTAGATTTATTAGGATATTATTTTCATAACTTATCTTCGGTAGCTTGCAGTATGTGTTTGCGTAGGTTTATGAAACTAAGCACAAGATTGTATTATAATGATTCACCTCTTGAGATTAATGAAAGCAAGTCAGAGTTTACAATTTCACAGGTAAGCTTTCCTATTAGGCCCAAAACACTACGGACCCAACACTTGCAATCCCGTTGTTTACACAAATTTCGAGACTATTCCGTGAATTTGCAGTGTCGAAGGTACAATACATTTCACTCAGTTTTTATGTTAACATTCAATTTTGAACTCTACACTCATTTAGGATAATCCGTGAACCAACTTCTATACAGCAAGACGACATTGAGAGTTGCATTCATGTGTTATGAGCATGTTGCAAAGAAATAACGAAAGATGAATAAGCCACATATTACATGGTTCCAAATATTTTCATAGGAAGGTGAACAATCAAAGGGCATTAAAGACATATAAGCTACATCATATGGTCTCACTATCGAGTGTGGTGAAATGTGGTGAATGTTCTGAAATTACAGCAGTACAAGACAAAGTTCATTAAGTATTAGGGTCCTCGTAATAT